AGTTCATAATTTAACCATTAGAAAAATTACCCAACCCAAATTAGAAGATCCCTAAAATTTACCCCCGGGCCCACGTGCCCGGATTCCAAAAAGTTTCAAAGATACATGTTACCCATAACCTCACGAACACAAATATATAATTTCTACTCAATTCCATAATCATTTTCGTGGTTAAATCCCATTTTTATCAAAACCTAGGTTTTTTCCAACTAAACCCATAATTTCCACAATTTCACATGTTAAAATGTACCCACAAGCTATGTATTAAACTTACATTGAGTAGGAATTACTTACCTTTAATAGCTAGGTGAAAACCCCTCTTCAAAGAGCTCCAAAATCGGCCAAGGAAATAAAAAATGACAGAAAATGGCCTAAGTCCCGTTTTTAAAACAAGTCTCTGCCCAGGTATTCCTTCTTCGCGATTGCGGAAAACGCCTCACAATCACGAAGGCAAACGGCCCAGGGCCTCACGAATGCAGAGACTTGCTTGGCCTGCCCTACGCGAATGCGAGGGATCCTTCGCGAATGTGAAGACCAATAGTGCTGCCCCACCCAGCTTGCCTTACCCTCCGCGAACGCGGACCCCATCACACGAACGCGAACGCCAGTGACCCAAAGCTTCACGATCGTGAGCTCCTTTCCGCGAACGCATGGAACAAAATCTCCCCTGTCCAATTCCTTCATCGCAAACGCGAGGCCTTCTCCGCGTTCGGGAAGAAGGAAACCGAAACAGCAGATAGCAGATTTTTGAACTCAACTCAGGGTGATCCGAAACTCACCCGAGCAACTCGGGACCCTGTCCAAATGCACCAAAAAGTTTATAAACATAATACGGACCTGCTCGAACTCTCGGAACACGTAAAACAACAACGAAACTAAGAATCGCACCCAAAACCAAATTGAATCAACTATGAACTTCAAACTCCTCAACTTACTCTGAATGCGCCGAATCATACATAGACTACTCGGAATGATGCCAAATTTTGCGTGCAAGTCTTAAATCACCATACGAAACTATTCCCAGGCTCGAAATAACAAATGGACCTTGATAACACCAAAACCTGCTCCAAACCAAACTTAAAGAACTTGAAAACCTTCAATGCGCCAACTTTAAATATTAGGCGCTGAAACGCTCCCTGGTCATCCAAAATCCGATCCGAACATACACCCAAGTCCAAAATCATCATACGAACTTATTGGAACCTTCGAACCCCGATTCCAGAGTCGTTTACTCAAAATGCTGACTCAAGTCAAACTTATCCATTTTAAGCCATTATTAAGGAACTAAGTGGACTGATTTCAACTTGAACCCTTTCAAACCCGAACTAACTATCCACGCAAGTCATAAAATATTAAAAGCACATACGGGGAGTCTTGTTTAGGGGGAACGGGGATCTATAAAGCAAAACAAACAGTTGGGTCATTACAATGACCAAAATCCCCATCGTTCCCATTCAAACATATAAACGAACACCTAGCATGCAACAGAAGAGAGGCACAACTATACACATTGTTAAAAAATAATCTTGCCCAAAATCACCATTCTAAGAGCAATCACACCCCAAACAACACCCACACCAACAATGCACTAGGCAAATCGTTATCCAACAAGAGAGTGGGTAACCAACTACAAAATTTCGAAGTTCATCTTCTTCCTCTTCTTTTTTCTTTGTTTTATGATTTTGTTTATCTTTTTTTTTTTCAAATTAAAATATTCCAACAAGGACTACACAAAAAGAACCCACAAAAGAGAGAGAAGAACTTACTAGGTTGCAAGAAGAAAGACACATGAGGGAGTTGAGGGAGATGGATGTAAAGTGAGAGAGAGAGGGAGCTTGGGGGGAGGAGGGTTTTGTTTTCCTTTCTTTTTGGGGGTTAGAGAGAGAGAGAGAGAGGGAGAGGGCTTGGGGTGTTTGGGGTAGTGCAGGTTTGACTGTTTTTAGGGGATGGGCGGGAATGTTTTTTTTTTTTTAAAACTTAACTGATGCGTTTCATAGTGCAACGCACTAGTATATTTTGCCGTCTGTCAACTCTCTGATGTTGAAAATCCTCTAATGAAAATATGTGCTACTGTGACGCATGGTGCGTCGCACTGTGCGACGCACTAGTTCATTTCGAGGTTTGCCAACTCTCTGATTTATTCCTGAACTATGACAATTAATTGGACTAATGCGGCGCCAAGTGCATAGCACTGAGCAACGCAAAAAAAGCAAAAACTTTGCATAGTTCTAATTTCTTGTTTCTTGACTACTCCCTCGCGCTCGAGCTTCATTCTGCGTCAAAGTCATTCCGATAGATCCTAGAACACAATTAGTCCTAATCTATAATCAATTAAACTATTCTAAAAACAAGAAGAAAAAAAGTTAGAAGTAGTTCTGAGTTATAGTCGCCAGCTTGACTCCGTCACTTAGGCTAATTTGATCACGATTCTAGAGGATTGCTTGTCAAGTCCTCCAACAAGGTACAGTTACAATCTGTGCCCGTTCACTTTAAAGCTCTCATTCCCCCTCCTTATCTTGTATCTCAATGGCGTCGTATTTGGGACATGTTTCAACACATACGGACCTATCCATCTTGACTTGAATTTTCCAGAAAACAGCCTAAGTCTATCTCTTGTATAGTACGACTTTGTCCCCTTCATGAAACTCATTTGGCTTAATCAGGCGATCATGCCACCTCTTTGTCTTCTCCTTAAGCATTCGCACATTTTTATACACGTGCAATATAAACTCCTCCAATTCATTCATCTGTAACAACCTGTGTTCGCCTACAAGACTAAGATCAAGATTAAGCATCTTAATTGCCCAATAAGCTTTATGTTCTATTTCAACAGGTAGGCCATACTATTTTCCATACATTAGTTTGAATGGTGAAGTGCCTATGGTTGTCGTAGTTTTGTACGCCCATAGAGCTGCATCCAACTTTACAGACCAATCCTTACGAAAAGCACTAACCATCTTTTCAAGAATTCATTTAAGTTCACGGTTAGCCACTTTAACTTGCCCACTAGATTGGACCTCGTACTTAGACAACAATGCAGTGAATTGCTTATTCACAAAGAGCGACCCATTGTCACTGATAATCACTCGAGGTGTCCCAAAGCAGGTAAAGATGTTCTCCTGTAAGAACTCACACCCCACCCGAGCATTGTTAGTCCTAGTAGGGATTTCTTCAGCCCATTTAGAGACGTAGTCAACGGCTACTAGGATATACTCATAAAAATGAGACGATGAGAATGACCCCATGAAGTCAATACCCCAAATGTCATTCTACAAAGTAGGCCAATAGAAACTGGCTTCCTGACCTTTGCTGCAGCGCGATTTCTACCATAGTGTCCTCCAGCTGCTCCATCATGGCAATGAGAAAGAATGATTTACATCTCTCCTTCAGGCACATACCTTCGAATCACACCATCTGCACACAGTTTAAACTAGAAAGGGTCATTCCAAAGATAACTTTTTACCTCACTTTGAAGCTTTTTTCTTTGATAACGAGAGAGATCACGAGGCAACCATCCACTAGCCAAAATGTTGGCTACATCAGCATACCACGGCGGCCTTTCGGAGACCGCAGCAATGAAGAAAATGTGCTCATTAGGGAACTCCTCACTTACTTCAACTATTTCAACTGGAGGTCTCTCAAGTCCAGATAGATGATCGGCGACTTGATTTTTTTGTGCGCTTCCTATATTTGATCTCCAAGTCAAACTCTTGGAGCAATAACACCCACAGAATCAGACGCGGCTTGGACTCCTTCTTACTCGACGGGTATTACAAGGCTGAGTGATCAATATGTGCAATCACTTTACTCCCCACCAGGTATGATCTAAACTTATTAGAAGCAAATACCATAGCAAAGAACTCCTTCTCAGTAGTGGCATAGTTGACTTGAGCATCATTCAATGTCCTGCTTGTATAGTAGATGGGCCTAAGCATCTTATCTTTTCTTTGCCCCAGGACTGCCCCCACAGCTACATCACTAGCATCACACATTATCTCAAATGGTTGGCTCCAATCAGGTGTCACCATAATAGGAGCACTCACAAGCTTTTCCTTTATCAATTTGAATTCTCTTAAGCACTCAACGGTGAAAACAAACTTGACATCTTTTGCTAGTAATGCAGTCAACGACATTATAATGCTGAAAAAGTTTTTGATGAACCTCTTATAGAACCCAGCATGTCCTAAGAAACTCCTTATGCTCTTCACAGAAGTCGGTGGAGAGAACCTAGCAATTACATCAATCTTAGCTCTATCAAATTCAATTCCATGGGCAGTTACTTTGTGGCCCAGGACAATTCCCTCTTTTACCATGAAGTGGCACTTCTCCCAGTTAAGAACCAAATGAGTGGCTTTATAACGTTCAAGCACGAGCTCCAAATTCTTCAAGCAATCCTCAAAGTCATCACCAAAGAGGGTGAAATCGTCCATGAATACCTCTAGACATTTCCATTTAAATCAAAAAAATATATACATCATGCACCTCTGAAAAGTGGCAGGTGCATTACATAACCCAAACGACATCCTCCTGTAAGCAAAAATACCTGACGGGCAAGTGAATATGGTCTTCTCAACATCTTCTGGGGCAATGGGTATTTGAATGTAGCCTGAGTACCCATCCAAGAAGCAGTAGCATCCATGTCCAGCCACTTTCTCGAGCATTTGATCAATAAAGGGAAGTGGGAAGTGGTCCTTCCTTGTTGCATCATTAATCAATGCATATTCTCCACCCAGTGACTGTTCTTGTGGGGATCAATTCATTGTCTTCATTCTTAACCACTGTCATTCCCCCTTCTTAGGTACAACTTGCATTGGATTAATCCGCTAGCTATCAGAGATGGGGAAAATCACTCTCGCATCTAGCAATTTGATGATCTCCATGTACACTACCTCCTCCAAATTTTTGTTTAACTTATGTTGGGGCTGCACCACTAGCTTACTATTTTCTTCCAGCAGAATTTTTGTGCATGCAAATGGCTGGACTGATTTCTTGAATATCAGTTATATTCCAGCTAATGGCCTTCTGTGCTTTTTCAGCAGCTCCACCAGCTTTTGATCTTGTGTACCTGTCAAGTAAGCAGAAATAATCACAGGAAAATTGTTAGTTTCAAGAAAAGCATATTTCAAGTAAGTGGAGAGGACTTTCAATTCCACATTAGGCTTAGAAGCCTCCTCTTTTAGTTCCTCCTTATCAACCACTTGATCCTTAGTTTCAAGAGCTTCAGCCTCTTTCTTTATTTCAGGATCTTCATCCTTTACTATGCTAGACTGAGTAATACATCACTCTAGATTATCCCCCACAAGCTTGTCAAACTTTTATTTTTTAGCCAATTCTCCAACAACATCTAGCTTGAAGCACGAGTAGGCAGATGCCTCATCACTGGGTATTTTATCATCCTCTTTATCTGGAACAACACTTTTTCATTGCCCACTCTAAGCCTATGCTGCCCCTCATAGATATCAAAGATAGCTCTGCCTGTACATAAAAATGACCACCCTAGAATTAGAGGTACCTTCTTGTTCACCTCCATATCCACCACAATAAAGTCTACGGGGAACAAAAACTTGTCCACCCGCACTAGAATATCCTTGATGATTCCCTCAAGTAAAATGGTGGTCTGGTCAGCAAGTTGTAGGGATACATACTGGTATTGATTTGATCACTCCAAGCTCACCTTCTAGTTTCCTGAATACAGATAAAGGCATTACATTTATAGACACACCAGAATCACAAAGGGCCTTGTCGAATTTCTCATTCCCCAATGAGCATGGTATGGGGAAGCTTCTTCGGTCCCTACACTTTTGGGGAATTTTATTTTGCAATATGGCACTGCAGTGGGCATTCAGCTTGACCACTGTTGTCTCCTCTAATTTTCTCTTGCTAGATAGGATTTCTTCAAGAACTTTGCATAAGCAGGCATCTGAGTGAGTACCTCTGTGAACGGAATGTTCATATAAAGTTGCTTGAGGGAATGGTAGAGCTGGCATATGTCTACTTTCTTCAATCTCCTTTTGTAACCCACTACTCTGGCCTTTCTGCTCTTCACTATTTTTCTCTTCCAGTGTCTCGGCCTGCTTGTTCACCACCTCGGGTCTTGCTTTCACCATTGGGTCAGCCAATGTTTTGCCACTTCTTAGAGATACAACTTTGATTGTTTCCTTTGGGTTCTTTTCAATGTCAGAGGGTAAAGACCCGGGAGCCCTCTCAGATAACAAATTTGCAATCTGTCCCAATTGTCTTTCTAAATTTCGGATGGTCGTGCCCTGCTCTTAGATGGCTATTCCCTGCTCTCAGGTGGTTGTACCCTGAGTCTCAATTTTTTCATCTGATTTGTTGATGAATACCTTCATGAGATCTTCCATATTAGACTGATTTGACTGTTGTGGCTGGTATTGCTGCCTCTGCTGGTTTTGAAAACCTGGTGGTCCTTGACCCTGGGGTCTGAGATTATTTTGCTGCCATGAGTTCAAGCTCCCACTAGGTGAACTCCACGAAAAACCTGGATGTCTTTGACCCATAGCATTATAGTTGTTCCCACCTTGGTAGTTTCCTCTATTAAATTCCCCACAGCGTTGACTTCCTCAGCTGATGCTTGACACCCATGTGTAGGGTATCTTAATCCACAAAAGTCACATGCTGTTTGCGGCTCACTCTGTACCTTGGCTAATGTCAGCTTTCTTATCTCTTTGGCCATGGTGTCTAGCTGGGCTTGCATGGATGTGTTAGAGTCCACCTGGCGAATCCCAATTGATTTTCTTCTATCATTACTCTCAGCCGGCCACTAATTAACATCCTCAGATAATTCATCAACGATTAAGACAACCTCCTCCGGTATTTTTTTCATTAGTGGACCTCCACATGCAGTATTCAGAGTTCGTTGCGAGGACGGTGTCAGTCCATCCCAAAAATCCCGGAATTTCATCCACAAATCAATTCCATTGTGCTGACACTTTCTGACTATCTCCTTGAATCTTTCCCAAACTTCGGAAACCGTTTTTTGTCTTCTGATAGAAATTGTGGATTTCCTTTCTGAGCTTCCCTGTTTTTGCAGCTGAGAAGTACTTGTCAAGAATCTTCTTGGTCATATCTTCCCACGTCTTGATCGTACCTGTGTGTAAGCTACGAAGTTGTTGGTTCGCGTCATCTTTCAATGAAAAGGGGAATTCCCTAAAGTAGACTGCATCCTTTGATACTCCATTGTATTGGAAGGTGTTCATGATTTCTTCAAACTCCATCAAGTGAGTATTAGAATCTTCGTTCACCTTCCCTCTAAAAATGCAGTTGTTTGGATAATTTGAAGCAAGCCTTGCTTCAATTCGAAGTTGTTTGCTACTATGGGTGGAGGTATACACTTGACAGTCCTTGATTATAGACTGGCCTAGTATAGTCACCCAATGATCTTCCAGGCATGGGTGCTGCATTCTCGAACTGGTCTTCAACCAAGGGTCAGTTTAGATTGAATCTTTGACCCCCCATCATCGTTGACGGTCTCATCAGCAATTCTCTAGGTTGCTTCTTGTTGTGCTGCCTCTCTTGCAGCTAAGTCTACTCCGTCATTCTCTTCATTTGCCATGGTATCTTAAGTCGAAGTTTGACCCAAGAAATTTTCTGTTAATTCCTTTTCTTTTCTCAATTGTCGCAGGTGTTTCTCCAAATCTGATTCATAGGGTATCACTTCTTTTGAAGAGGATCAAGTCATACACCAGAGAAGTCAAACCTGTATCATGCACAAAAGTGAGAAAACGTGAATACACTAAAGTAAAAATTGGTTCCTGAATTAATACTAAAAGTATTTTAAACACTCTTGATTGCCAATCCCCGACAACAACGCCAATATTTGACGAGCACAAAACACAATACAAAATTATTGCTCGCTAGTCAAAGATAATATAAATTAGTTATCGTCTCCGCAGGGATTGGATTTAAACAGTGTTCGAATAATCTCTAGTTGATTACTTTCAAGAAAAATTAACACTTGATTTGACGACTATTACTACGGTTAACTACTAAAAATTAATCAAATAATAATTGATCACGAAAGACAGTAGATGTGCAACGAAGAAATATCAATAAGAGGAAAAAGGGTAATTGACTAGATAGGTGCAAGATAACAGACTCGGGATCAATTTATTGAGTTAATTCACTCCATAATACGATTGATTCACACGAATTCAACCGATAATCAGATTACACTTGAAGCTAATATTTCTCTTTCGACTAAATGTTAGTTTCAGTAATTAATCTAATTGAAGCACGGTAAATAATTGCAACAATAAAATGATGGTTATGATCTAAAGTAACTTCTCACAAATATTCCCCTATTTTCTAATTCAATTAACAATTCAATAGGCTCTTTCGATTACCTATTTAAATCACGAATTTAAATTAGAGCATGAGATGTGAAGAAATTCAATATCAAACTCCTCTTTTGATTAAGCAAAATAATAAATTACTCCACAATACAAATTAAAGCTCCATCAATTAATTCTAACAATTATCAAGAATCGAATCCCTAATCAAGTTATCGATACATCTTATTTGTCAACACCCTAATGAAAATTAATCCATAGCAATGGAGTAAGACATCTCAATAAGGTTCAAAAACAAAGAAAACATCAATTCTAATGATTTGATACAAACTCCCGTATTGCACCTATTGCATGTTGAAATACTGATGAATTTTTGAGTCTTCTTGCCTAGGTTGGTTCTCCAATCTTTGGTAGGTCAAAAGTCCCTCAAAAGACATATTTTTAGTGTATTTATACCAAGTAGGACCGAACCTAGACGAAACTACCCTATTTGAACTGAAGTGCGAAAACCTGCAAACTTATTACACTTCATGCGTCGCATAGCGCATCACAGGCTGCGTCGCGTTAGTGTACTTTACTCAGTTGCAAACTCTCCGAACTCCATGTGTCTGACAGAATTTTACCTTAGTGCATCTCATGTCGTGTCGTAGCAGTGCTTTTTCTTGTCAGACCAAAGAAACCCAGTCTCTGAACTTGTCAAACTTCTGACACATATTTGCCTTAATGCGTCGCACTCTGCTAGGCTTTGTGCATCGCATTAGTGCATTTGTTCTGGCCGTTCCACTTTCTTCCCACTTTCGTATACAACGCCTGTGCACGAGCCCCGGATGCGATCCCGGTTTAATTCTTAGCTTTTACTCACATTTCAAAGCTCCAATTTCCTTTTAACTCGGAATCATTGTTGCTAGGCATGAAACCCATAATAAGTGCAAATTACCATTGTTTAAGCTCAAACACACATTGAATGCAGTAATTTAGAGTGCAAACTAGGGCTAAAACACGGGCTTCTAGCCTACCATCACTAATCACCTCTAAGATGAAGGTATTCTTTTCAAACTAATATAGTATTGTCAGTGCAATATCCATTATCTTTTATGGCCCCTTGAGCATTGTTGAAAAATTTCATCACTCTAAAAAATAATGTACCCTGAGTAATTGCTTAATTGGTATCATTTCCAGAAATGATATGATGTCAAATTTCATTTTTAGCTATGATCAATGAGCTTGTTGTTATGGGATCCATGCAAAAGGGATGTTGGACCACAAACATGCAGGTGAAGGTAACGTAATGTAAATGAACTTTTTTTCAAGATGCAAAATAGAATTATAATTCATTTGTAATTATTTTTTCAACTAAGCCAACTTTCCATTTTAAACTCCAAAATAGCTAACTACTTGTACTCACCAAAATTTCAGAGGAATACAATTGGATTTTGTTCAAGCACAATATTATTTTGACATATAAATATGAAAGAAATATCATCAAGCAATGTTGTTTTCCTTCCGCTTCAGCCAATAAAGCTATAATGAAGCCCTAAGGATGTTTTAAACATATCAAAAGTGCAACAGCTAACAAATTCAACCATGAATATTTGCAAAGCAGCAAAATGATAGCCATGAATAAGAAACTTCACGCAGTTTGAATAATGTTTATTTAGATATATTCACGGTAGCATTATTGCAACAGACAGAATGATATATATTGCATAATATATTGTTATTGAGAATAGTTAATGCAATACCACTATATTTATAAATGTGTAGTTGTGGTTGAGTTAGTTAACTAGGCAGTTGAGTTAGTTGACTAAGTAGTTAGGTTGAGCTGTTTTAGTAGTTAGTAGACAGATATTATTTTCCCTTTTTCTTACACGTGTGTATATAATGCCTTGGACATGAGATAATCAAATTAAGTCTTCATTTCACAACTCCTCTTATTTTCCAGAATGTTCTATCTGTACTCTCCCTAGCTCATCAATGGAGGTTCATGGTTGATTGACCTCCAACTTTGACATGGTATCAGAGCACAACTCTTAATATCCGATCCGATTTAGATTTACACTCATCTCATTTTTCTCTCACTCTTCTTTCTCACAATTTTTCTTCAATCGATCTGTAATCGCAGATCAGAATCTACTTTCGTTTCCTCGTTCGTTGATTCACGAAATCTCATTCAATTTCATCTTCAATTTCATCTACTTTACATCATCTCATGGCTGGAGACAACGAAACACAAGGTACTGCTGCAGCTTTGGATTCAACTAATCCACCATACATGCATCCGTCAGAGAGTGCCGGAATAGTTTTGGTACCAGTAACATTTGACGGCACTGGATACAGATCCTGGAGGAGAGGTGTCCTTAAAGCCCTCTCCGTGAAGAACAAGGTCGGATTTATCACCAGAAAGTGTAAGAAACCTAATGTCGGAGAGGCGAGCTGTGAGCAATGGGCGAGGTGCGATGACATGGTGACGTCATGGATTCTTAACTCACTCTCAAAGGACTTGGCTGATGGCTTCCAATATGTGAGTGGCGCAAAGGAACTATGGCAGGAGCTCGAAGACAGGTATGATCAGACAAACGGAGCGAAACTCTATCAGTTGCAAAAGGAAATCAATGACCTAAATCAAGGAACCTTAGACATAACTGGATACTACAATAAGATGAAAAAGTTATGGGAAGAACTTAACACCTTAAATGCACATGCTCAGTGTGGATGCCAGTGCACATGTGGTGCCAAGGCAAATATGTATAAAGCAGAATAGGATCGTAGGTTAATTCAATTTCTAATGGGACTCAATGAGGTTTACACAGTTGTCAGGGGAAGCATCCTAATGATGAACCCTTTGCCTAGTATCGCACAGGCATTTTCCATTCTTATTCAAGAGGAAAAGCAGAGAGAAATTAGGCCAAACAATCGCCTAATCATGGAATCCACTTCTCTGAATGTCAATGGGCCCGGAAATAATAGACTTAGGACCAATTACAATCCACAGGGCAACACTGCATGACAGAACACTTATAGATCTGCATTTCAACCAAATAAGTCCAAGTTATTCTGTGATTACTGTAAAAGGCAGGGACACACCAAAGAAAAATGCTATAAGTTGCATGGATTTCCACAAGACTTCAAGTTTACAAGGGGAAGAAATGCTGGATCTGCTGCAAATGTACATGGTCAATGTGAGGAAATGCAAGCATGCAATAATGAAGATGCTGAGTGCAGAAATCAAAATCAGAACCTTCACAACTTGACAAGTGAACAGTACAACCAGCTGCTGAATTTGCTGGAAAACTTCAAAGTCAATAGTGCAACTGAGGATCCAAACATGATCACAAGTGGAGCTGTTAACTTTGCAGGTATTTTAGCTTGCTGTACTTATAAAGAGATAGCTGAAACAACTATGTGCAAATGTTCAAGTTCAATTGCTGATTTATGGATCTTAGATAGTGGAGCCACAAACCATATGACATATAGAAAATCCTTCCTCACTAATATCAGAACCTTACCTTATCCCTTGCTTGTTACCTTGCCTAATGGATATAAGGTGAAAGTGACAGAAATTGGTGATGCTTTACTCAGTCCTAAACTGACCTTAGTTAGAGTCCTATATGTGCCTAGTTTCAAGTACAACCTTATCTCAATTCATTCTTTAACAGTACATCTTGATTGCATGGTTAACTTCAATAAATACCTTTGACTGATGCAGGCCCCTTCAATGAAGAGGCCTCTGGAGATTGGTAAAGCAAGAAGTGGTTTGTACTTTCTTTGTTCAAAATGTCATAGCTGTTCAGATTTGAGTCCATCTGTTGTTTCTGGTCAATCTCATTCTTGTGTTTTCATTCCTGACAAGAATGCTAGTAGTAAGAAGGATCACCTTCAACCATCTCTTTCATTGTCAACTGTAAATAATGTCAATTCATGTAATAAAACTGATCCTTTTAGTTCCTCTTCTGTTTGCCCTGCATCTTCTGGAAATAGTGTAGATTATTTGTGGCACAACAGGCTAGGGCATGTACCCTTTGTTAAAATGAGGAAAATACCTACCCTACCAGTCAAGTTTGCCCCCAAACAGCCCTTTATTTGCTCCATTTGCCCAATGGCCAGACAGATTAGATTGCCATTCCCTGAAAGAACCACTTAATCCACCAAAATATTTGAATTGTTACATGTGGACTTATGGGGACCCTATCACACACCAACACACAACAATTATAAATACTTTCTTACCATGGTGGATGATTTCAGCAGATCAACCTGGACTCATCTCCTAAGCTGCAAAAGCAATACCTTCCATGCCATTAAAGGCTTTCTATCCCTGATTGAAAATCAGTTTGATACCTCTGTCAAGATCATAAGGTCTGATAATGACCTGGAATTTGTCAACAATGAAAATATGACCTTCTTTCAGGAAAAGGGAATCATTCATCAGAAAACCTGTCCATACACACCACAACAAAATGGTGTGGTGGAAAGAAAGCACAAATACTTGCTTGAAACAGCAAGAGCACTTCTTTATCAGTCCAAACTACCCATTAAATACTGGGGAGAATGCACCCTAACAGCCACCTTCATAATAAACGAACTTCCATCTAATGTTCTGAACAATAAAAGCCCCTTTGAACTCCTATACAATAAGAAGCCCAAGTACTCACAACTCAAGAGTTTTGGGTGTTTATGCTACCCTTGTACACAGAAAACCCACAGAGATAAATTCGAGCCAAGAGCCACTCCCCATGTGTTTGTAGGTTAGCCATTTGACACTAAGGGTTACAAGGTCCTAGACTTAGTCACAAAGAAAATACATATATCCAGAGATGTAGTATTTCATGAGAGCATTTTTCCTTTTGCAATTTCTTCTGAACATTCTAGTTTTCCCTCAGTATTACATTTACTAAGTTCTAAGAACCAAGGTGTTTGTGGACTGCATGACAAGGATGTACCAATTTCTGTTACTGATGGACCAGCAGCTGATACCACTTTCACTCCTCCACTCAGTTCACCATTGACCTCACCTAATTCACCTAGTTCAATAATATCCAACCATGATGATATTCCTAATCTCCAACAACAATCTACAGAAACACATGATGCCAGCCCTCCAATCATTGAACCTGATAACCCCCAAATGAATCCTCCAAATCTCATAAGGTCAGGTAGAACACATACCACCCCTGCACACCTTAAGGACTATGTATATTCCTTACCAACTCTACAGTTCCAAAACACAGAACCTGAACCTCACACTAGTACTACATCTTTCAATGCAATCTGCAACAACAATCACCATGTATCATTTAATGTTTTGCAACTTGAAAGTCAGCAATTAATTAGAAACATTTCACATGATTGTGAGCCATCCTCTTATGAGGAAGCAGTTATGAATCCTGCTTGGCAAATGGCAATGACACCGGAATTTGAAGCACTATATGCTAACCATACTTAGGATCTAGTTGAGTTACCTGCAGAAAAGAAGACTATAGGCTGCAAGTGGGCATACAAGATCAAACACAAGGCAGATGGAAGTGTGGAAAGGTTCAAAGCAAGGCTAGTAGTGAAGGGCTACACATAAGAGGCAGGGGTTGACTACACAGAAACATTCTCACCAGTGGTAAAGATGACCACTGTTAGAACACTAATCAGCATTGTAGTGAAAAGGGGATGGAATCTCTCTATCAATTAGATGTCAATAATGCCTTTCTGCATGGAGACCTACATGAAGAGGTGTATATGGAAGTCCCACAAGGCTTAATGGTTTCTACTGGGAATCTAGCATGTAGACTTAGGAAGTCACTGTATGGTCTGAAACAAGCTAGCAGACAATGGTATGATAAGCTGACAGAATCACTACATTCCAGGGGTTTCAAGCACTCAGACAGTGATTACTCATTATTCTACAAGAAGCAAGGAAAGTCAGTAGTCTTTGTAGCTGTTTATGTAGATGATGTGATTTTGACTGGTACAAACCTGGAAGAAATTACAGAGTTGAAGACTTTCCTACATAATCAATTCAAGATAAAGGACCTTGGGAAATTGCACTACTTTTTAGGATTAGAGATGCTCTACAAGAATGATGGAGTGATAATTTGCCAAAGGAAATTCACCATGGATCTGATAAAAGAGTTTGATTGTTTGACATACGCCCCTGTTGGTTCCCCTCTTGATTCTACTGTTAAATTGAGCAAAGATGAAGGAATTCTCTTGCCTGACCCAGGATACTATAGGAAACTAGTTGGGAAGCTGAATTTCTTGACAAACACAAGACTGGACATAGCCTACAGTGTCCAGCATCTGAGCCAATTCATGCAAGCACCAAGGGAACCTCATCTCAAAGCAGTTGTTCATGTACTTAGATACCTGAAGAAAGACCCTACCTTGGGTATTTTCATGTCAATGATCCCAGATACAATGTAAGTGCTTATTGTGATTCAGATTGGGCTGCTTGCCCTGATTCAAGGAAGTCTGTGAGTGGGTATATTGTGCTACTTGGAGATAGCCCTGTCAGTTGGAAATTAAAGAAACATAGTACTGTCTCACTGTCTTCTACTGAGGCAGAGTACAGGTCAATCAGAAAAGTTGTGGGAGAGCTAGTGTGGATAAAGAGACTGCTTGAAGAATTGACAGTCATATGTACAGACCCCATAACTGTATTTTGTGACAGTCAAGATGTTGTTCATATTGAAAAAAACCCTGTGTTTCATGAGAGGACAAAACACATAGAGGTAGATTGCCATTTGTCCGGGATGAGATACAAGAATGACTAATTGAACTTCAACATGTCTCCACCTCTGCTCAACTAGCTGACATCCTCACAAAGGCTCTCATAGGAGTAAAGCACTCTGATCTTCTCAGGAAGTTGGCAGTGACCTCCTCACCTCCAACTTGAGGGGGGTATTGAGAATAGTTAATGCAATACCACTATATTTATAAATGTGTAGTTGTGGTTGAGTTAGTTAACTAGGTAGTTGAGTTAGTTGACTAAGTAGTTAGGTTGAGCTGTTTTAGTAGTTAGTAGACAGATATTATTTTCCCTTTTTCTTACACGTGTGTATATAATGCCTTGGACATGAGATAATCAAATTAAGTCTTCATTTCACAACTCCTCTTATTTTCCAGAATGTTCTATCTGTACTCTCCCTAGCTCATCAATGGAGGTTCATGGTTGATTGACCTCCAACTTTGACAATTGTTAATAATTCTATCTAATGAAAGTAAGTGATGCATTTTTGGGTGTTCGATGATAGATTAAATTATAGAATACCCGAAAAAAGGAATGGAGAAAACAAATATTATTCAGTACTTCTAGGCATATCGTCAAACACCTTTGCTACATCAATCCCTTTCCATTACAAGTTTCATTCTTGATGGTAAATTCTGTGTGCTTCCGTTGAAGAGTTTCGACTAATAACACGCATGTACAAAATATACTAAGAAAGCATGAAGAAAACGAAAATACCATATATGTTGAAGTTAAATACTCACAATTGTACATGTTGTACTAAGAAAATTTTGAGGAAAATGTTAAGAGAGTTTCAGAGGCATTATGAAGATTGTAAAATCAACATTCTCTAAAAATAGAACTACCCTGACATGCCCATTAAAAAATCTGAGAAAAACTACAAATAATTCAACAATCACATACTAATGGGAATAGAAATTTTGAAATGAGTTCAGAATCTAAGGCCAAAAGCAGAAGTAAGAAAAATAAAATGCACAAGATGAGTACGACAGAAAAATAGTTGTTCAAGATGGAGAATTACTTTCTCTCTTGCCTGTTATCTTCGTCGATATCTTCACATGTGACTAATTAACTGAAGAGTCAAAGGCCCAAAAATTTCTAGAATAGCCATAAAACATTGATGGAGGATGAATTTTACCAGCAGATGATTGAGAAATTGAAATGGTAGTAGAAGTATAAGACAGGTGTCCCACAAAGATATAAAGACCAAAAACGTGTCAGGAAATGAGGAACTTAAAAGGGATGAATTTCGAGTGTAAATACAAAACTGCCCATGACAAACAATTAAAACTATATTGTACCCACGTTCGTCATACCCTGTTCGTCCTACCCAACTCCCCTAAATATATATATATATATATATATATATATATATATATTTAAATTGTTAGTTGTTTACTAACTTTCTTCTTCTTTCTCTCATTCATTCTGTGTACTATAATGGATTTTTCTGCAATCAAGATTTTGTTTATCTTCATCGGTGGCAGATATAGGATTTTAACAATGGGCGCTCATCTTCTTTTAACGTAGAAGTCGGCACTGATCAAAAAATATAAGCACAGAACTATTTGAACATGATAATAAGAAAAGTGAACAAAAAATTATTAAAAAAAATCTGTGTAGGAGAAAAAGAAGGAAAAATCAACTAAAATAAGTAATAAACATAAGAATCTTTTCAGTTAAAACCAAGTTTAAAGGTAAAAATCAGCAAACTAAAAGGAAATTCCAAAAAAGAAAATAGTATTAAAAGGAAATTGGAAGCTATATGGGAAAAACAGAAGGAAAAGTCAACTAAGAAAAGATGACCTGAGACAATTAAAAGGTTGTGTAACGACGCGGCCGATCGTTTTGAGAGTTATAGCCTTGATCTCCTATTTATTGCTTCCCCCGTATCTATTTATGCTATTGTGACTTGCCGGGAGGTTTTGTTTTGGTTTTTAGAGTGTTTTGGGATACTTCGTCCATAAAATGAAAGCTTAAGTCTTAGGATTTGGACCGTAGTCGGAACTATGTGAAGGCGACTCCGGGATAGAGTTCGGTCAATTTCGTTAGCTCCATTGGGTGATTTTGGGCTTAGGGGCATGTCCGGATTGTATTTTGGACGTCTGTAGCTTATTTAGGCTTGAAATGGCGAAAGTCTAATTTTTGGAGATTTTGACCGGTAGTGAACTTATTGATATCGGGGTCAGATTTTATTTCCCAAAGTTGGAGTAGGTCAGTAATGTTGATTATGACTTGTGTGCAAAATTTGAGCTCATTCGGAAGGTGGTTTGATAGGTTTCGGCATCAGTTGTGGAAATTTGAAGTTTCAAGTTCATTAAGTTGGATTGGAGGTTGATTTGTGTTTTTAGCCTTCAACAAAGAGTCAAGCCGGGACAGTTCACACCAGGGCAACTGGTATTAAAGAAAGTCTTTCCGCATCAAGATGAAGCTGATGTTTTCCCCCAACTGACAAGGTCCATACATGGTTCACCGAGTTCTGACAGGAGGAGCCCTCATACTTGCTGAAATGGACGGAGAAGTCTGGCCGAAACCGATTAATTCAAATGCAGTCAAACGCTATTATGTGTAATCTTTATGCTTTCCTATATGATGTAATTGAACTATGTATGACCTGATTCCCGTTTAAGAGGGGATACGTAGGCAGCCTTATGGGTCACAATTCAATAAAATTTTCATTTTCCCCCGCAATTAGAAACTGGGGCAGAATTTTGAGGAGGACCCTCAAAATTGCGAAGTAATTTCAGCCAGTCATCCCCAATAGCCGTCAGAAGCATCAACTCATTAAACTGGGGCAGAATTTTGAGGAGGACCCTCAAAATTCCGTAGCAAGAGAGGTCGCAATGTCTTGAGCCACGTCACAATCGCCGGTTCATCTAAAAGTTGTTCTTAAATATATACTTATGTCTTAGTTTTACAAATTCATGCATGTTGGAAATCGCTTTGTTCAGCGACCTACCCCCCAATGATACATACCATTCACCAGATCAAAGACGAACAGGTCAAGCAAGGCCAGCCGGGATACGAAATAACCTCCCCTCTACAAAACTCACGATTTCTCTTTGGATGCAGACACTTGGATTGCGAAAGCATCTAACACACTATACACTCACGAGACAAACGTTGTTCAGGAATACAACTCTCAGAATTGTTGCATTTTCCAGCTTTTGCTATCACGCACGCCGGCGACATTCCCTATATCGCAATGCCCCCAGCAGTCACATTATCGCAACCTGCTATCAGCTAAGAAACTCTATTACCATTTGCCATTTTACTTTATTTTCTGCATTGCATAAGGCTACCATTCTGCCTTCCGAGACTAAGCACTGTCTCCATCTGCATTGTCTGCATTGCATAAGGCTACCATTCTGCCTTCCGAGACTAAGCACTGTCTCCATCTGCATTGTCTGCATTGCATAAGGCTACCATTCTGCCTTCCAAGACTAAACACTGACTCCATCTGCATCTGCATGGCTGAAATATCGCCACTGTATTTACGCTTGCATGGCTGAAAGATCGCCACCTTATTTACATTCTGCATGGCTGAAAGATCGCCGCTTTATTTACGCTTGCATGGCTGAAAGATCGCCACCTTATTTACATTCTGCATGGCTGAAAGATCGCCGCTTTATTTTACGTTCTGCATGGCTGAAGGATTGTCGCTTTATTTACGCTTGCATGGCTGAAAGATCCCCACCTTATTTACA